TACATCAGAGAACACTGAAATACTACAAATAATTTTCACAGATTTAAATTATTAGAAAATAAAATAGAAAAATATCTTGAAATAAATAAAAATTCAATATGCTAACACTTTCAAAATACGGAAAAACAGTACAGGGAGGCAAATTCATAGCTACAACCTCATTATAATAAAAAATAATATGAAGATGAAAATTAGCACCTTAACGTAGCAACCAAAACAATTTGAAAAAGAACAGCAAACAAACCTGCTAGTCCACTGATAATAGGAAATAATAAAGGTGGAAACAGAAATAAATAGAAGAATGTAACAGAGAGAATAAGAATAATTAAAAAACCCAGTAATTGTTTCTTTGAAAGAATTAATAAAACTGGCAAGCCACCAGAAAATATAACAAAAGAAAAGGATGAAAACATGTAAATATTTTGAATAAAAGTCAAATGGGTAAAATCAAAAAAGGTCTAACTGAAATAAAAAGGATAAGGATAGAACACTCTGAAGAACTATGCTCTAAAAATTTGGAGACCTAGAGGAAATGGACTAAATTTCAGAAATACACTACCTAACTAACCAGATTTTGCCAAGAAATCTGGAGGACAGCCACCTGGCCAACTGACTGGAAGTGATTGATTTTTATTCCCATTGCAAAAAACAGTGACCCAACAGTGTGGTAATTATTGAACTGAAACCACACACAATAAAACCCTACTGAGGGTTATCCAGATATTACTGGAATAGCACATCAACAGAGACTTGCCAGATGTACAAGTTGGGTTTAGAAGAAGCTGTGGCACTAGGAACATCATAGCCAACTTTATAGATCTTGGCAGAAAGCAGAGAGCATGAGACTAATGGCTATCTGTGTTTCATCAACTACGCAAAGGCATTTGACTGTGTTGACCACAAGAAATTGTGGCTAGCCTTGATGAGAACGAGAATTCCAGAGCACTTACGTGTGCTCATATGAAGCCTATACTTGGACCAGGAAGCATTAGTTAACAAAGAGTGGGGAAACACTGCGTAGTACAGGATCAGGAAAGGTGCACATCAGGGATGCATCTTATTCCCATAGCTTTTCAATTTATGTGTGGAACAAACCATTCAGGAGG